CAAGGCAGCCAGAGAACAACGTCAGCTATCTTCCTCCATTGCTCTGAGTTGTTTTTAAAATTACGCTTATTTACTTATTTTCGTGGGTAGAAGGCACACCATGATGCTCATAGGGAGAGGACAACTTGCAGGAGTCAGTTCTCTCTTTCCACCATTTGGGTCTTGGGACTCAAACCCAGGTGTCAGCGACAAGCGCCTTTTCCCAACTGAACCGTCTCCCTGACCCTCTCCACCTTGTTCTGAGACAAGGTCTCTCATTAAATCTGGAGCTCACCGAGTTGGTTAAATTGGCTGGCCTGCAAGCTCCAGGGACCCTCTGCTCTCCCTTTCCCCGGTAGTGGGATCACAGCCACACACCACAGCACCCAGCTTCTATGTGGGGGCTGGGCATTGAACTCAGGGCCGACTAAGCCCTATCCCAGCCCCAGATGCTCTGCTTATGCAGAACATCTGTGATGGTGACAGGGCCTCTTCATGAGGGGAAGGGTAGGCAGCTGACCCGAGTCACCAGCTGCTAGGAACAGGCTGGCACAAGGCCTCATGAAGAAGTCAGGCCCATCCCTAGAGGTGGCCCTGGCCTCCCCTTCCTCAGCAGCTCCCAGAGGGGAGTGGAGGGACAGGACACTTTTGCCAGGACCTAAGCCTGTTTGTTCATCATGGGAGACCGAAAGGCCACCTGGCACACTTCTCCACTGTGCAGACTCAGGTGCCTGGAATTGCTGGCCTACCTGAGTTTTGGGATGAGAAAGGGGGTGCTACTTGGTCACTTTTATTGACTCCTGGCCTACCTCTTAGGATGGAACTGGCTTCCTTCTTTCATGTTTTAGACAAGGACTTGAAGCACAGCTACCAATTCTGCCACCATGCTCTCATGTGTGGGACTGACTGGGGCTGAGACACCCACAGAGAAGCTCTTTGCTCGCTGGTGGGACAGGAGGCAGCTTCCCAGAAAAGGTGAGATCTGAGCCAGCTTTTAAGCAATGTGCAGGATCTAATGCTTCTGAAGAGGGAGGGAAGGAAGGACGGGGGGAGAGGGGAAGGGATTGGGGCTGGCAAAGCAGGTGTGGCAGTGTGGCATGTTCAGAGTGTCGGGTAACTCTAAATGGCCAGGAAGGGCAGGCTGGGAGCTGGGAGGCCTTGCCTGCTATCCAAGGTTCTAGGTTTAGTTTTGTGGCGCCTAAATGACCTTGGCTCACAACAATTCACATTCCTCTGCATATTCATGAACTATCCTCTCCCCTGCCCAGTTTCCCCCATCTTCCTTTTCTCTGCCCTCCCCTTTCCTGTTTAATCCCCTTTGTTCCCTTAGACAATTTTACTTCTACTTTCATTTTACTTACACACACACACACACACACACACACACACACACCTCTCTCTGTCTCTGTCTGTCTGTCTGTCTGTCTGTCTCTCTGTTTTTCAAGACTGGATTTCTCCGTGTAGCCTTGGCTGTCCTGGAACTTACTCTATAGACCAGGCTGGCCTCAAACTCACAGAGATCTCCCTGTCTCTGCCTCCTGCCTCTGCCTCCAGAGTGCTGAGATTAAAGGCTTGTGTCACCACTGTCCAGCACACATGACTTTTTTTTTTTTAAGTGAGAGAGAGGGAAAAAAAGGGGGGGGGAGAAAAGCTACAATATTTGTCTTTCTGAAACTGGCTTAGTTAGGTAACGTGATTCCAGTTGTGCCCATTTTCCTGGAAACAACATAGCCTTATTTTTCTATTTTGTACATTTGTCACATTTTCTTATCCATTTCTTTGTTGTTGGACACTTAAACTGGCTCTGTAGCTTAGCTGTTGTCCCTGCTCCTCAGCCCTCTTGAGACAAAGTCATGCTGTACAACCCAGGCTGGCCTGAAACTTAATCCCTGCCTTGCCTCATCCTGTCAAGGGCTGGAATTACGTGCATACGCCACTCTAGCTGCTTCTTGTTTTCTATGTGAGTTTTCTATGTGATTATTTAGTGTGGGGGGTGAGGAGGGAGGGAGAGAGAACAACTTGTGGGAATCACTTTTCTCCTTCCTGGCATCATAAGGCTTGGTGGCAGTGGCTTTCCCTGATGAACCATATCGATGGCCCTTCTTGTGACATGGTTGATTCCATGGCCAATGGTGAACCTAGAGGCCTTCCTGCATACTTCATCTTGCAGGAGCTTCGCCTATATGGAGCGATGACAGCCACACCCGTGTCCAATTGTCTCCCTTGATGACACCTCCTCAGGAGTCTAAGCTTTGGCTTCTGCATTCTCCCTCCTGAGCTGACAACACGCGTGCTAGCCTCCCAGGGCCAAAATGACAAGACAGTTGCAGGAAGGATGGGTGGGCGATGAGTCAGGATCCAGGCAAATGTCACTTCCCAGCCTGACCTCCCTACAAGACACAGCACTCCCTGTGAGCCTAGGCGTCTGCATCTGCAGGTGCAGATGAGATAAGTAGCTTTGTGCATGTGCTCCAGGCAAGGCTTCCTGTTAAGCAATACAGAAAGGATTGATGAGGGCCTCTAGTGTGCTAGGGATGTTATCAGACAGGTGAGGATGTAAAGAAGTCATGTGATTGGCCAAAATCACATACAGAAGAGTGGCCGAGCTCTTCACAACCACAGTCCACTCTCATTTACTTCCTTACTTAGGTTTTTGTTTTGTTTTGGAGACAGGGTCTCATGTAGCTCAGGCTGGTCCCAGTCTGCTATGTACCTGAGAATGGCCTTGAACTTCTGATCCTCAGCCACCACTTTCCAGGTGATGAGATTATAGGCATGTATTATCACAACCAGTGTACCAAGTGCTAGGGCTCTAACTCAGGGCATTGTGGATGCTAGACAGGGTCTCTACCAACTGAGCTACTTCCTTATGTATTTACTATGTTACTTATTTGCTCAAGTGTGTGTTTGTGTGTGCACTGAGCCTTGGAGTGTAGCTGGAGGTCAGATGACAACTTGGTGGGATTGGGTCAGTTCTCACTTTCCACCATTATGGGTCCTGGGGATGGAACTCAGATAGTCAGACTTGACAGCCAGCACCTTTACCCACCGAGCTGTCTAACCTGCTCCTTATTTACTTTTGAGTCTAAATTAGTAGCTCAGGCTGGTCTCCAACTCAAGATCCCTTGACCTACGCCTCACACAGGTGTGCACCATTCAGCCAGAACCTTCTGTGCAGGCATCAGCAGGAGGAGACAGCGGGCCTGAGAGGACAGGCCGTGTAGAGCTGAATGCAGTACCAGTTCTGAGAACGAGCTGGATGGTAATGCTGTTATCAATGGAGGCCAGGCCCTGCCAACCGGAAGGCTCTGCTGACCTGAATGCAGGGTCTCGGGCAGTGGGAGTCCAGACAGGGTGCTCTAAACAAAATGCTGAGAAGGAGGGCCTCCAAAACAGGATTCTGAAAGACCACATCCAACAGGAGAGGCAAGGTCTGCCCAGGGCCTTGAGGAAGGATGGGGGTACTGGGCCACCATTGAGCAGGTTCTTTATAAAAGGCCTGGGAGCAAGTGGAACAAGCTGGGCACACTCAGCTGACCAGAGAGCTAGGCTAGAGGTCCAGAAGCAGGGCACTAATGCAGCAGCCAGCTACCTAGGGCAGCCTCTGGGATCAGATATAGGTTCCTTTCTTAATACCCAGCAGGCTGAGTCCATGCCCCATCCCACAGTAGCACCAGGAGGTAGCCAGCCCCAAGTAGGGAAGACTGGCTCATAGCAGAGTGCTTTCCCGGAGAAGGCTGGTGCTTTTCTAGACCTGCCAGGGAGCTAGCTCTGGAGTACAGTCTTGGGTACTAGACGTGTGCATGCACAGGCCCTGGAGAAAGAGGCTATGACTACTAGGCTGTGTGGATGCAAGGATGAAAACTAGCAATCGTGCTAGCAGACCATAAGCCCCGAAGGCAATCCCATCCATTACTCACAAGGAAGCCTGTGGATTCCACCTCCACACCAGGGCTTCTTGTTCCTTCACACTGCTCTTTGAGCCCCCATCGTCTCTCCTGGGAAACCCCAGCACCTCTACCCCCTACCCTTGTCCTCGCTGTCTGTCCTTACCCTGCCAAACCCTAAGTTGTTTACAGTTAAAGCTTTATTTATTTTATGTGTATGAGTGTTTCGCCTGCATGTATGTCTGTGAACAAAGCATGTTCCTGGTGCCTAAAGAGGTCAGAAGAGGGTGTCAGATCCCCTGGAACTGGAGTTATGGATGGTTGGGAGCTACTGTTCAGGTACTGAGAATCACACTCAAGGTCATCAAGAGCAAGTGCTCTTACCTGCTGAGCCATCTCTCCAGCCCTCATTTGCTTACTTTTCATGTAAGATCTGGCTATGCTAGAGACAGGATCGTGTGTGTGTGTGTGTGTGTGTGTGTGTGTGTGTGTGTGTGTGTGTGGTTTTTTGGGACAGGGTTTCTCTGTATTACTTTGGAGGCTGTCCTGGAACTTGCTCTGTAGACCAGGCTGGCCTGGAACTCACAGAGATCTGCCTGCCTCTGCCTTCCGAGTGCTGGGAAAGAAATCAACTCTTACCATGAGGATTGCCTCAAGTTCACAGTCAACCTGTTCTATATATCTGGTTCTACCTCAAAAACAAACAAACAAAAAAACCCATCCAGGCATGGTGGCATACTCCAGAGGTAGAGGCAGGGGATCTCTGAGTTCAAGACCAGCCTGGTCTACAGAGGAAGTTCCAGGACAGCCAGGGCTATGTAGAGAGACCCTGTCAAAAACAAAAAAACAAACAAACAAACAAAAAAAAAAAGAAAAGAAAAAGAAAGAAAGAAAAAAAAAGAATATTGGAAGAGAGACTCATCCAACACTTCCTGTTTTGAGTCCCCTAATCTCTAAACTGTTCCACCCCAGCAAACACAGATTACTCCTTTCTCTGCCCAGCATTGAAATAAATGTGTTCTATGGATGGACCCTTGAGTTGTTTCCAGTTCTTTGTTACAGTTAAAAAAAACAACCAACCCAAACCCCTCCTTCCCACACACACCTGTAAAGACACAGATTCTTAGAGAGTTGTTGTCGTAAAGAGTATGCACTTTATTTTATCTTTTTCCAGGGCTGGGGATTGAGCCTAGGACCTCTGCTAAAAAGACTACCACCAATCTAAGTTCCTGACACTGGTGTTTTCATTTGTACATTAAAAAACAAACAAACCAATCGGCTCCTCTCTGGCTGTTTTAGTGCTTGGTGCCATCATCTCCCGACTCCCTGCTTGTTTTCCTTATTTGCAGACTTATTTCTCTTTGATGAGCTCTAATTTAATGTGACTGAATCTTACCAGGCTGTGTACCACCATGACCAAAACCAAAAAAAGTTTGGAAAGAACACATTGGTGAATTAATCCTGGTCTCCATCTTAAAGAGTTCGAATCCAGCCAGGGATTTGGGTGGGGGTCCTGCTGCTGGGACGGGCGGGCAGTGAGGGCTGCAAAGCTGTCATATGTAGCTGATGCCAGACCAGGAGCCTCCTTGGGCAGAGGAGCTGTCTGTGTCTTAGGTTTGGAGCAATCTGGAAAGAGGCCTCCTAGGAGGAAAAGTTCCACCTCAGCTTTGCATTGGCTACACTGTCTGAAACACAGTCATTGAATTCTCACAGCTAGGTATTAATACGTCTTAGATAGCGTTTCTATTGCTGAGATGAAACAACATGACCAAAAAGTAACTTTTGAAGGAAAGGCTTACACTTCAGAATTATAGTCCATCACTGACGGAAGCCAGAGCAGGGGCTCAAACAGGGCAGGAACTGGAGGCAGGAGTTGATGCAGAGGTCACAGGGGGTGCTGCTTACTGAATTGCTCCTCATTCCTTGCTCAGCCTGCTGTGTTATAGAACCCAGGACCACCAGCCCTGGGATGGCAACACCTACAATGGGTTCAGCCCTCCCCCAGTTAATCACTAATTAAGAAAATGCACTACAGGGCTTGCCTACAGACTGTTCATTCAAGTGACTCTAGCTTGTGTCAAGTTGACATAAAACTAGTCAGTACAGGTATTATTATTATTATCATTAGACAGGGCTTCTCTGTGTAGCTTTGTAGACCAGGCTGGCCTTGAACTCGCAGAGATGCCCCTGCCTCTGAGTCCTGAGTGCTGGGACTAAAAGCATGTGCCACCACCATATGGCTAAGCATTATTATTTTAAGATTTATTTTTTTTTTTAGTTTTAAAAATAAAAAAAAATCTGAGTGTTTGTCTGCATGTATGTATGTATGTATACCATACGAATGCCTGGTTTCCACAGGGGCCACAGGAGGGTGTTGAATTTCTTGGGAGTGGAGTTACAGACAGTTGTGAGATCTCATGGCTACTGGAAAGTAAACCTGGGTCTCTGTAAGAGCAGTAAGTGCTTCCTAATCACTGCACCATCTCTCTAAGCCCTAATTTATGCTTCAATTTTTACTTTATGTATATGTGTTTGTCTTCTCATCCATGTTCTAGGCAAGCATCTCTTTTCCTTTTGCTTGTCAGTATCAGAAAGGAAGGAAGGAAGGAAAGGAAGAAAGACTAAACAAAAACCAACCCAGGACTGGGGAGGAAGGTTGGGTATTAGATGAAATCCTGGGTTCAGTTTCCAGCACTCACAAAACCCAGAGCTGTAATCTCAGGCCTCGTTACAATCAAAGGTAGAGGCAAGAGGACCAGAATTTTGATGCCATACTTGTCTACATATTGAGATAGAGGATAGCCTGGGCTACATGGGGCCCCATTAAAAACAAGAAACAGGGCCAGCAGATAAGGGTATTGTTGCTGCCAAGCCTGGAGACCTGTGTTCAATCCCCAAGGCACATACAGTGGAAAGAAAAAAAAAAAAAAACGAATTCCTGTAAGTTATCCTCTGACTCCCACTGGAGTCTCCTCCTTCACCAATAGATCCCAAAGCTTCTCCCTCCTCGTGTCCCTGTGGCCTGAGTCACAGTCTTATTAGTGTTGAGGACATGCTTGTACTCACGCTTACGCCTATCACAGCACCGCTATGCTGCCTCTGGCTCCCCCTGGTGTCCAGGACCTGAGCTTCAGCAGGCCCAGCCGGTTCCACCCGGCTGCGTTGAGTTCCATTCGCTCTGGTCAAGATCCTGCACAAGAGTTCACACTTTTATGTGGTGTTGGAGATGGAAGCCAAGACTTTGTGCACCATAGACAAGAGTTCTACAACCAAGCTACGTCTTCAGCTGCTTCTATATTTATGAAAGGTAGAATACAGGATTTATTCTGTGTTCTATAATACTGTAATGGGAGGCCACAGAAACGGTTACTATGTCAGTTGGGGGAATTGGAATTACCTTTAGGTTATGAAGTTGGGTACTCTTTGTCCGGCCTGGCTTCACACTGTTGTGGATACAGTCTAGAAAGGATGTGGAGAGGGAAGCATGAAAGAAGATGGATAATGGGGCATTTGTTTGTTTGTTTGTTTGTTTATTAGAGGCAGGGTCTTACTATGTAGCTGGACCCGGAACTTGCTATGGTGCCTAGCTTAGCCTCTGTTATCCTGAGTGCTAGGATTACACATGTGTACACACATATATCAAGTGGAAGGCATGAATCATAGTGTTCTGTAGCACAGTAGGACAACTGTGTTTGCCATTAATAAACTGAAAATGTCAAAATAGCTCATAGATGGGAATTTGAACATTTTTAGCACAAAGAAACAGTTTAGCACAAAGTGTCTGAGGTGATGTATTTGTCAGACCTTGATTCAGACCATGACATGCTGTATAAGTCTAGTGAAGTGTTACAATGTGCCTTGTAAATTCATACAGCCACCATGTGCTGGTTAAAATGTGTTTTAGGTGGTTGTGGTGGCCCACACTTTTAATCCCTGCACTGGGGGTGAGCAGAGGCAATGGAGTTGTACATCTGTGAGTTCTAGGCCAGTTTGGTTTACACAGTCAGTTCCAGGTCAGCCAGGGCTGCACAGTAAAATGGTGTCTCAAATATATATACTTAATATAATTTTAATACAATTGTAAAGGTGGAGGGCTGAAGAGATGGCTTAGCAGTTAAGAGCATGCACTGCTCTTGTAGACTATATGAGTTCAGATACTAGTTCCCTCATTTGGTCTCCAAAGTCACCCACATACATCACACACAGGCACCTACACATGCACATAAATTCTTTTTTTTTTTTTTCAAGACAGGGTTTCTCTGTGTAGACCTGGCTGTCCTGGAACTCACAGAGATTCACATGCCTCTGCCTCCTGAGTGTAGGGATAAAGGTATGTGCCACCACATCAAATTTATTATTATTATTATTATTATTATTGTTATTATTGAAATAAGATTTCTCTGCTTTGGAGCCTGTCCTGGAACTCTCGATGTAGACCAGGCTGGCCTTGAACTCACTGAGATCCACCTGTCTCTGCCTCCCAAGTACTGAGATTAAAGTCATGTACCACCACTACCTAGCAAAAAAATTTTTTTAATGAAACAAAAAGAAAAAAATTGAGAAAACATAGTGGTAGAGTGCTTTTCTAGCCTACCTGGGGACTCTAGGTTTAGTTCCCAGAACCACATACACGTACCCATGCATTCATACACATAAGAAAATAAAGAACCAAGGATGGTAATCCATACCTGTAAATCCAGCACCAGGGAAGTTAAGGCAGGAGGGTTGCTGTGAATCTGAGGCCAACCTCGACTACATAGTGAATTCCAGAGAAGCCTGGACTATACCATGAGACTTGTTCTAAAAATGAGAACTGAGGGACTGGAAAGATGACTCTGTGGTTAAGAGCTAGTACTGCTCTTGCAGATGACTTGAGGTCAGTTCCCGGAACCCATGTCAGACACTCTGACTGACTGTCAGTCCAGCCCAAGGGATCTGACACTCTTTCTGGCCTTTGTAGGTACCTGTACACACACACACACACACACACACACACACACACACACACACACACACACACACTAAACAAAAATAATTAAAAAAATATATGTATATAAAATAAGTCAGTGGTGGTGATGTCATACGCCTTTAATCCCAGCATTCAGGAGGCAGAGGCAGGCGGATCTCTGTGAGTTCAAGACCAGCCTGGTCTATAAGAGCTAGTTCCAGGACAGCCTCCAAAGCCACAGAGAAACCCTGCCTCAAAACCTCCTCCTCCCAAATAAAATAAAATAAACAAATTAGGAAAGAACAAAATCTAATTAAGGAAAAAAAGATTAATGAAGTTCATGCTATTCAGATAAACTGAAACACACACAAAATACACACAAGTAAACATGCACACATAAGAGAGATGGGAAAATGAACATGGAGTGGATATTTCTTGACTTGAGGAATGAGGACTGCTGGGAAATGGTGGAAGACTAGGAGGCAGAGGCAGGCAGATCTCTGAGGCCAGCCTGCTCTACAGAGTGATTTCCAGGACAAGCAGGGCTACACAGAGAAACCCTGTCTGGAAAAAAACAAAAACAAAACAAAGAATGAGGAATGATAGTTTTTGGTGATGCAATTATTATTTTATATGTGTGGATGTGTTACCTGCATGTATGTCTGTATACCACATGTGTGCCTGATGTTGGAGGAGGTCAGAAGAGGGCACCGGATCCCCTGGAACTGGAGTTGCCATGTGGGTACTGGGAATCACACCCAGGCTCTCTGGAAGACCAGCAAGTGCTCTTAATCATCGAATCAGCTATCCAGTTCCCCATGGTTAGGTTTTTTGTTTGTTTGGTTGTTTTGTTTTGTTTTGTTTTTTTGAGTCAGGGTTTCTCTGTGTAGCTCTGGCTATCCTGGAACTCACTCTGTAGACCAGGCTGGCCTTGTACTCATAGAGATCTGCCTGCCTCTGCCTCCTGAGTGCTGGGATTAAAAAGGGTTGTTTTTTAAAACACATTTTGTTTATAGAGATAGATAATGACTTTTAGATAAAATAATTTTCTGGACATGATGGTATACATCTGCCACCTGTAATTCCAGAATTTGGGAGACTGAAGCAGGAGAAAAGAAAGTTTGGGGCCAGCCTGGATGACAGTGAATTCCAGACCAACCCAAGATGTAGTGAGACCTTTTCTCAAAAACAAGTGTAAAACAAAACAAAATCAAAATGACTGTTCTGGGAGCTGGAGAGAGGGCTGGGTGGCTAAGGATGGGTGCTGCTCTGGGAGCTGGAGAGAGGGCTGGGTGGCTAAGGATGGGTGCTGCTCTTGCAGAGGGCTTGAGTTCAGTTCCCAGCACCCCTGTCAGTTGTCAAATAGCTGCCTGTAACTCAGCTGGGGGGGGGTCTGGTACCTCTGGTCCTACATGCACATAACCACACACACACATCCATCTGCACACAATGAAAGGTAATATAATTTTTTAAAAACTGCTTTAGGATAACTTGGGAGGAGGAAAAGGAAGCTGTCCTTGAGCTGTTACTTGCTGAAGCTGGGTGATGGTTGTGTGTTCATGTTTTCTTCTCTTTATTTATTTTTTTGCACATTTGTCAATTTCTACAATAAAAAATATGTTGGGGGGTGGTGGCGCACGCCTTTGATCCCAGCACTCGGGAGGCAGAGGCAGGCGGATCTCTGTGAGTTTGAGGCCAGCCTGGTCTACAGGGGAAGTTCCAGGACAGGGTCCAAAGCAATACAGAGAAACCCTGTCTCAAAAAACCAAAAACCAAACCAAACCAAACCAAACCAAAACAAAACAAAAAACCCAATCCCCTCCCCCAACAACAAGTCAAAACAAAAGACCAAGACAAAATTCAGATCTGGAGCTGGGGTGATGGCTGAGAAGGTAAGAGCATTTACTGCTCTTGGAGAGGACCCAGGACCGTCTTTCCCATCACCCACACAGCAGCTCACAACTGTCTACTTCACTTGGGGATAGGGGACAGGCAGGAATCCATACCCTCCCTCTGGCTTCCACAGGAACTGCATACATATGCACATATATGCCTAAATGCAGAGAGAATACTCATTTACATAAAATAATTTTTAAATTAAAAATAACGTCAAATCTGCAATATGGAAAAACGTTAATATGTGGCACTATTCTTTTATCTTTTCTGTAGATTTGATATTTTCTAACTAGCAGGACAGGGCAAAAATCATCCCTCTACATAGAGAGACTTTGTCTCCACACCCCAAACCATTCCTTTGTCTTTAATTTATCTGTTCTAGAGGGAGGTCCCCAGGGCCATTCCGAGCAGTCCTTCTGAGCTGGGATAAATCTTCTGGTCATATGCCACCAGTCAGAGCACCTCCTCCAGCAAGGGCAGGTGGAACTAAAATCCGGAGACATCTGGACAGTGTCCGAACGTCACATGAACAAGTGACGTTGCAAACATCTGCATCCAGTCTCCCACCATGGGCCAGTCTAACTTCGCCTAGATTTGAATTTCAGTTTCCCTCATCATCCTCCTCCCTTTTCTCTTTCTGCTCATCGAACACAGAACAAAACAGCACAAGGAGAGGCAAGGAAGAGGGGTAACGAAAGAACTCAACGAGTAAAACACTGCCGTGCTCAAACGCTTTGGCTAGTGTGAGTTTCTGAGCTTCTGGGGAAGACAATGGGCAGCTCCAGGGCATCCCAGGATGTTGTAGGGCGGTCAGAGAGGCCACACACACTTGATTCTGGAGGGAGGCTGAGGGGGGAGGTCACATGTGCCCATGTGTTGGAGACCAACCTGGGCAACATAGCTAGATTTGGTCTCAAAAACAAACAAAAAATATGTCAACCAAACAACAATAATAAACAAAGGAGGAAAAACATATTTTTCTTTTGAGAGTATGAAATTACAAGGAAATGGACTCAAAGTGGGGAGCAGTGAGGCTAGTCACAGAATTATAAAATTGTGACCATGTCCTAGCAATTAAAGGCTACTGTGAGATGGAGATGTGAATAAGGTAGGTGACACAATTAATGCTGGGAATATGACACTTCAGCTGGGCTCCATAAAGAATGACAAGGAACTGGCCTGCTGAGGGAGAATGGATTGGAAGATTTGTTCCATGCAGAAGGGAATAGCGGCTTCTTAGACCCTTAGGCAGCACAGAGGGTGGTTCATTTTGCTGGAGGAATTTTTACAAAGTTAACTTTATTGATTTTGTTTAGTTTTGATTTATTTTTTTTCCTTCTGGTTAAGAAATATTTTCCCCTTTACTGCCAGACTGGATTCCAGAATGCCAGCCTCAGGCTGCTGCCACCGCAGAGCACATTGACTGAGACAGCTGTACCTTCTGCCTTCACATCTGGCATCGCCCAGGGCTGGCTCTCTCTCTCTCTCTCTCTCTCTCTCTCTCTCTCTCTCTCTCTCTCTCTCTCTCTCTCTCTCTCTCTCTCTCGTTTGTTTGCTTTTGGTTTTTGGCCAATCCAAGTTGGCGTAATGGATACCCCATTGTCGTTGTAACCTGATTTTTTTTTTTTTTCTGGTAGTGAATACAATACATCTGACCACTCATCTTATGTCTGCAGGCTTGGTATGGTAGTGGGGTCTGAAGGTCCCAGGAGAATTGCAAGCAGGGGACCTAGAGCAGCTTAAAGGCACAGCAGGAATGGGAGCTGTAGGTGGGATATGGGTGTGCGGATCAGACTCACAGCTGTACTGACAGAGAGCAGGATCTACAGAGAGATGCGGAACCTCTGCCTCCTACTCCCCTGCTCTGCGCGCTCCTGGCTCCGCGCACTCTTTGCCTCAGCGGCTACGCGCCTTGCACGAGCAGAGCAGCCGGATGGAGGAGGAGCTGGCTTGGGAGACCCATGGTCGTGAGTCCCGGTGTCGAGGGCGGGTGGACATGGTGGGGGCCCGAGGGCCGTGGGGGAGACCCCGTGTTCACAAAGGGCGGCCCAGGGAGAGGCTGGCCCTTCTCTTGGCCGCCTTGGTCTTGGGGTTTTTCTGTGGCTCTGGAAAGAATGTTGCACAGGCGTAGGGCACAGCGGCCACACATCTGGGACTCAGGGTGTCCCGGGAGCAGCAAGCCAGGGGTGACAGCCATCCTTGTAAATAACTCACTTTGTGTGCCAAGCTTAGGGGCAGGTCAGGCCGGTCGTCTTTTACCTTTGGGACCATGTGGGCAAGGCCTACTGCCATTTCCACTTATCAGATGAGAAAGCTGAGGGACGGGATGAGGTCACATGACTGTATAACGAACGGTAGAAATATAGAGATGCTGAATCAGGGATAGGAGCGCAGTTCAGCAGGTAGAATGCTTGTTTAATATATGCACAAGGCCTTGGGTTCCACCTCACAGGCCATGTAAAGTCAGACACGGTGGCACACATCTGTAATCCTTGGGGGGAAGTAGAGGCAGGAGGATCAGGAATTCAACATCATCTTCCATCCTTGGCTACATAGGGAGTCCAAGGCCAGCCTGAGCTACATGAGACCCTGTCAACCACCACCGCCAAACAAAAACAACCCCCCAAAACCTAAAGACCCCAGTTTGCCCAGAAAATTGGGGATGTAGACACCATATCAGAGGAGGAAGCAGAACCTAGAAAAGAGGTGCTGTGGTTAGCTCCAGCCCTGAGTGGAATAAGGAGCTTCAGAACCTCTTTCAGAATGTACTCAGGCCCCCTGATGTGTGGAAGGCCTGTGGCCACCAGCTCTCCTGGGAGCGCTTTGGAAAGAGGACTGTGCCATTGCCACCTCCAAGGATTCTTAGCCCTGCTGCCCAGGCTGAGCCCTGACCACTGAACCCAGGAGTGCATACTCAAATCCCCGTATCTTGCCGACTGGGTTCAAAACTCTGAAGCCAGCTGTCACTGTCTGCCCAGATGAATGAGAAACGGGTGCTGGGCTCCGCCAAGCATAAGTGTTGTTTTTAAGACTTTTGCCTTTTAATTAATTGACTGATTTTTTGTTGTTGTTGTTGTTTTTACGAGACAGGGTTTCTCTGTATTGTTTTGGAAGCTGTTAGTCCAGCCCGGCCTCGAACTCACAGAGATTCGCCTGCCTCAGCCTCCTGAGTGCTGGGATTAAAGGCGTGTGCCTTGCTTTGCTATCTTTATTAGTTAGTGTGTATGTGTGCACGCATACGTGTGCACACGTGCACACAGGCACTCTGGTGTGCTTGTGGTGGTCAGAGGACAACTTTCTAGTCAGTTCTTCCCTTTCACTATGTGGGTCTTCGGGACTGAGCTCTGGCTGTCAGGCTTGGTGACAAATGTTCTCACCATCCCAGCCATCTCACCAGCTCTTCCCCCTTTTTAGGCTTTGCTTTCTTTTGTGTGTACGTGTATGAGTGTGTGCGTGGGTGGGTGCCCGGAAAAGCACATGGATCCCCTGAAGCTAGAGTGACAGGCAGTTGTGAGCTCCCGACATGGGTGTTGGGCACTGAACTCCGATCTTCTGAAGGAGTAGTAAGTGCTCTTTACCTGCTGACCCGTCTTTGAAGTACATTTTCTTTTATTTATTTTGTGTATGTGTAGGTATGCTTGTACCAGGGTGGGTGATACAAGGGCAACTTGCAGGAGAGAATGTCCTCCTTCTACCATTAGGTCCTGGGATCAGGCTTAGCAGCAAGTATCTCTTCCCTCTGACCCATCCTGCCAGTCCCTTTTTATAATTAGGTTCTAGGCATCTGAACGCTTGTGGTCACTCTTCCCAGGTAAGCACTTTAGCCAAGCTTCCTCCCTATACCCAGAGGAGCTTTGAGGAAGGAGAGAGAATACAGAGAAGGGAGCCTTCTGTGGAGGTGGAAGGGTTAGGATTTAGGGGCAAGGAGAGAAGAGGTGGAAAATGAGGACCAGGAATGTCTAAAGCTTGGAGGCCCTGCCTCTCTCTGGCCTTCCCCTGGGTGGTGCACTAAATCCTCAGTCTTCTACACTGTGTAGTCTTAGCAAAGGTGGCCACCGTCTCCAGTGGGAATGAATTCCATCCTTCCCCAAGTGCGTCCCTAACAGTGTGGGGTTCCTTCCTCTCACCCCAAATCCCACTTTCTCCCCAGTGCTTCCCCTGGAGAGACAGCTCCATGAGGCCTCTCGCTGGAACCAGGTGGGGAGGATGAAGGAGCTGTTTGAGAAGAGGGTTAACATCAGGGCTAGAAACCATGTAAGTATGAGTACCCCGCGGTGCTGCCAACCAGTGGGACAAGTCACTGTGCCACAAGAGGTGTGCTTGTGTGCATGGACTTGGGTGGTGGTGGGGACGGGGTGGGGTGGGGTGGTGGAGACATATGCATGCTCTGTCTTTGTTGCTAGCCTAAGGGTCAGGATCCCAAGCCAGGCTTTGGCAAGTCCAGACTTCAGACTTTGAACCCGTGTGGCCCATCTAAGAGACAAAGGTGAGGAGGTGCATGTGGGCAGGATTCTGGGGACCACGAGGAACCAGACAGGCAGAAAAGTAGGGTCCATGGCCCTGCTGGGGAAGAGGGTAGAGGAAGAGGCATATCTTCTAAGTGGACATTGAAGACGGGCCCAGCTACCATGCAGGGTGGCCCCTTTCTGACTCAGAACTTCTGTCTCTGAGGAACAGACACTGGATGCAGGACCCCTGGCCACAGCAGAGGGTACACTGTCCGGGGTGAGGGGTAGCAGTATGACTTCAGTCTTCAGGGCCAGCTCGGGAGGTGTGGGAATAGTAACAAGAACTATGACTGTGTTTGCCGTGCTGGTTTTCAGAGCACTCAGCTGCCAGCTTCCTCGTGGCTGTCATTCAGTCCTGGAGAGCTGGGGAGAATAGGAAGTGTTGGCCCTGTGTATAGTTCAAGGCAGGTGCAGTGGGACACAGGCAGGTCGCTTAGGTCACACAGCAAGTGGTTGGTGACTGAAACTTTGGTTTCAGCTCCTGAACAAGTAAGTATCTGCAGGGAAGCATGGCCTAGTAGGGTGGTAGTGTTTTGTCTGTTTGTCCATCCATCCATCCGTCTGTCTGTCCGTCCATCCATCTATCCACTAATTATATTTACACACACACTCATTGATGTCTTCATTCATTCATTAAGTGTATTCTCTCATGAACACTGGCTTATTCACTCATTCACTAAGAATTTATGAAGAGCATACCATATGCTAGGTACTGAGAACAGAGCAGAAACCATGACAGCCGTGGTCCCAGCCTACATGGAGTCTGGTGGGGGAGCAAAGATATGCTAACTGTCTCATTCCCACGGTGATAAACTGTCTCATAAGCAAAGGGAAGGGTCCAAAAGGTTTTGTCCCACCTGGAGGGTGGAGGTCCGTGGCGTGAGGTGAAGGAATGTTTCAGGCAGAAGCCCTGAGGAAAAAGAACTGGCATCCACGATTACACTGAAAAGCTGTTTTCCTTTGCTGCCTCTCATGAGCTGAGACAGTAGACAAGTGGACTATACAGAGGAGACTGGTGGCCCGGCCTGCTCAGATGGACGGAGGGCCAGAAACCAGGATGAACTCCCAGGGTGGTGGAGAGTGGGCCAGACAGGCTGGCCCTTTCTGCTCATTGTGAGGGAAGAACCAGACACTCTGTTCCCCTTGGGAACATTGAGAGCTGTCTTAGGTCACATGTGGCCTCCCAGTAGGAAGGAAGGTTTGGAGCTGGAAACCATCTGTCCCCTCTGAGAAGCAGTGGAGGGCAGTGCCAGGCGACACAGGGGCTTGTAGGCTCAGGCTCAGGCGTTTGCCCCGAGAGCAGTGGGGAGCTGTGAAGTTTTAGGCAGGGACAGATGGGTCCAGTCAGTGGACCTTATAATATTTTTTTTGGCTGTACCATATCAGGGAAAAGGGACCCCAATAAGGGCTGGATCCCCAGCCAGCTGGTCACCAGAGCCACAAACAGCCCTTCCTCCCTGCAGGCCAGCTGTCTTGGTAGGGACAGTGCTGGGGTCAGGCCAGGCAGCCCAGTGGAGTGACAAGTTTCCTCTCCTCCTGGCAGGTGGGCAGAGTGGCCCTGCACTGGGCTGCAGGTGCTGGACACGAGCAGGCTGTGCGGCTGCTCTTGGAGCATGGAGCTGCTGTGGACGACGTGGACTCGGTAGGGAGGTGTGTGTGTGTGTCCACGTGCGTACACACACGCCTGCACATGAGCAGCATGTGTCTGCCTGTCTTCCTGTCTCAGGGGTAAGGGCATCCTCATTCTGTCTGACCTGTGAACAAGTTGTCCTTGGTGAGCTTGCAGATGCTTAGGTACAGGCTGGGCCCAAGTCAGTCCTAGGGATTGTTAATACTGGACCCATTCCATTTTCCCTGGCAGGAGAAGAAAGTGTTCTCTATTATCAATGGCCTTTCAGTCCTGGGAACATTTTAGTCCTTCAACATATCATGTGATAAGGGAGACTGGCAAGCCATGGAACTGATAATCATGTGGATCAATGATGGCCTGCTTAGTAAAAGCACCAAGAAGAGGGTCTCCTGTGATAGGCCATGCGGCTCTGCCCCGGTCAGCACCTGAACAGGAACTTGCTAAAAACTATGTCCTGGAGCAGATCGGGCAAATCCGTAGATGGCACTCTGCTTGAAAGGGAGGGAGCCCCAAAGACAGGATCTACAGAATTGCCCCCACAGGTTTAGGAGAAGGGGTGAATCTGACAGTGCCATTTGATACAGACATTCTTAAAAATGGATACTTAGAGCCAGGTGGTGGTGGCCCATGCCTCCCATGCCTTTAATCCCAACACTTAGGAGGCAGAGGCAGGCAGATCTCTATGAGTCCAAGGCCAGCCTGCTCTACAGAGCAAGTTGTAGGGTGTCCAGAGCTGCGCAGAGAAACCCAGTCTTGAAAAACCAAAATAAATAAATAAATAAAATAAAGATACTTAGGACTAGAGGTGTGGCTCAGCTGTGGAGTGACTGTCTAGCTTGCATGAGGTCCTGGGTTTTATCCTCAGCATGGGGGCAGAGGAGGAAGGAAGGGAGGGAGGGAGGGAGAGAGAGGGAGGGAGGAAAAAGTATATATAGAGAGAAGGTCTAAAGTAAATCAATCTTTTTACGAAGCCAGCAAACCTTCTGGTGTTTAAGTGCCTACAGCCTGGGGCTCTCTGGACCGAGTGGGCTGTAGGTGAATGGTTCGGCCACGTGGACACAGCCACTCCTTTGCAGCCCCCCTTTCTCCCCGCCTCCCCACGCCCTCTCCCCTAGTTTGGGATGAATGCACTTCTCCTGTCTGCCTGGTTCGGCCACTTGCAGATCGTGCAGCTTCTCGTCAACGCTGGGGCCAAGGTCCACTGTGAGAGCAAG